GTATCAACGTTTCTTTCTAACAAAACTCGTCAATGCTTTAGTCTGCTAAAGCTACAATGTTCCTTTATTCTGTCTAAAGACCATCTCTGATTATAAATGGTGGTGGTGACTACTAGACAATGATGGACAGTTCTCGGTCAAGAAACTAAATTATTCTAAATTGATGATGTAACTCTTGCCAAAGACGACGTACATCCGAAAACCCGCTGGAATAATCTATTACCCTCAAAGATCAACATCTTCGTTTGGAGGGCTCTTCGAGGAAGGCTTCCAATTCGAGCGACTCTAGGAGATCGTGGAATTGATTTGAACTACATGCAATGATTTGTAGGAAACTTTGGATTATTGTCTCGTGAGTTGCAACTTTGTCCCTTGGGATTGTTGGCTTATGGCTCCGCTCCAAAATCCTAGTTGAGCCTCTCGTTCCTCTTGGGTTACTCGTTGCTTTGTCTGTTCATCGTTGGTGTTTGTTTGCTTTTTTCACATATTTTTATTCTTTTTTGTTTCATTCGATTATCGGTTAGGTCTGCTTTTCATTGTTGCATCTCGCTACTTGGCCACCTACTTTGTAAATTTTAGCTCGTTTTTTTTATTTAATCAGCTGCTTTGCAAAAAAAAAGCATTTTAATTATATGATTATAAATTTGGAAAATTACATGAAAAAAAACATACTTTAACCTGATTCTTTTTATTTTGAATAGCGTACTTTTATAACTTATAACATCTAAGATAAAACTTTAACCATTTAAATACATTTGAATAAATAGATATTTAATGTTAATTTTTGATGCAATTTGTGCGGTAAATTATATATTTATACATCTTTTTTCTTGCAAATTGCTTTCATTCTTCGCTTTTGTATGATTCCTCTCCAGTTCTTCCTGTTCGGTCTTTCTCGTCGATCTTCATACCTCTACTGCCTCAGGTACTGTGAAACCCTAGTTTTTCGTGTTAATCATTTTTTTCATCTAGAAGTATCATATGATCTGCACTGTTGTTACTGATTTACTGCTTGATAATCATGGTATGGCTAAATTATTGATCACAATATTCAGTTATTATCCGACATCTAACAAGGAAGGAGCTAGGGAGATGATCACTAATAACTCTTTTAACTTTGGATTTGATTTTAGGATACAACCATAGTATTCTTTGGATTCAAATGTGATTTTGACTTTCTAGATCCAAAATCAGTATTTTTGGTGTTTCCAGAGACTTGAACATATTTACAAACGCAATTATCAGTTTGCCACGATAAATCTATCGTGAACATTAAAATCAGTATTTTTATCATTTGTTAAAGAGAGAGCGTGCGACTGTAAAGGAGAGAATGCATGTCAGTTTCACATATTTTCCCCCATAAAAAGCAATTGTGGTAATTGTGAAGGTAAATTTTGGTGATTTTTGAAGATCGTCCCGCTGTTGCCTCATTCTCACTTGACTGATTGATTACATCCCTAATCTCACTGTAAGTAATCTCYCAAACTCTCGCTATATATGACTACATGTATTTGTGATTGTGAATCTCTGAGAAAATTAGGGGTTTTAAATCACATCTTTTTCAGTTTTAGTTGGGTGTTCAATATGAATAGCTATGATGGAATTGTTGTTTAGGATAAGATACACTATTATTTTGGATAATGCAAAGTAATATTTTAGCATTTGATTCATTCATCTGTTCTCCAGATTGTATTTCAAATGCATTGATGATCAAATTGAAGGCCTTTAAAAATTCATTGATGCAAAGCCCTTGGAAGTTGGAATGCCCTGTATAATCAGAGATGGTCTTTAGACAGAATAAAGGAACATTGTAGCTTTAGCAGACTAAAGCATTGACGAGTTTTGTTAGAAAGAAACGTTGATACATCATACAGTAGCATAAATATTTAACAATTGTGAATATTGTGCTTTCATCCAACCACCCCTGCTTTCCAACTCTTATAAAGTAGCTATATACATTTTGGAGGTTGATGACGTAGACACCATAGATACGATATAGAAAATGAAAACATGTTGAGGTCACCGTTGAGTGTGTGAAGATTGATGTTCCACTCTTACAGAGTAGTTACATGTATTTTTGGGTTATCCCTTCATCAATATAATATTTTTTATATATATAATAATTTACGAATACATGTATTTACATAATTACATTTAAGGCTCTCCCTAGGCGTAAATCTTCTAAGATGTCAAAGTGCAATTTAACATCTATCAYTACAACAAAAAGAGGTTTATAGGACAATTTTTTAGGACATTTTTTGAAAACCGTYCTTTAAAAGGCTAATACGACACATTAGTTTATGAGTCCTATTTGATTTAATTTTATATGACTCTTAATTTTTATGTCTTATTAACATATCTTGACGTCCTATCATGTAATCTAATACGACACTTTTGATTGTCATATTATTTTATGATCTAATAGGGCACTTTTAAGTATCATATTATTTTAAAGAATAATAGGACATTTTAAAGTATCATATTATTTTAGAAATTAATAAGACATTTTTAAGTATCATGTTAATTTTAATAGTTAATAAGACATTTTTGATTGTTGTATTAGTATTTAAAAACTAATAAAGGATACTTAAAGATGTCCTATTAAARTTTAAAATGACATGAATAACATATTATATTTAAAACCATTTTTAACTTAGCCCAAATCTTTTATATGATTTACTTAATCAGTCCATTTTCTTAACCTAACTTATCCATAGGTTAAATTTTGACACGTCCCTGAAAATAATGTTATCAGTCCACTACAATCTCTTCGCTCGATTCGTCCTCCCTCGCCTCTCGCCTCACGGACGAACTCACGAACAGAAACCAATCCACGATTCACGAATCGAAATCGCAATCGGCCTTGACTCAATCGGCTATCGCTCTCGCTCTCGTTCTCTGCCTCTCTCGGGTCTCGACTATCGACCGGCTCTTGCTCTCGCATCTTGTGGCTTGTGAGGTTAGGGTTATTTTGAAATTATCTACCATACTTTACTTATATGATTAAAGATAATGTTTGATTAAGGACATGATAAATTTATATGATGTTATTTTCATATAGCTATGAATCTTCATAAAGTCTGATTAATATTGTAGGTTATTGGTTTTATTGTTTGATATATAAAGTCATATGTGATTCAACAAACTGTTTTGAACAAAGCTGTTTGAATATTTGAAATCATATCTTCATACATTCTGGATTAATATACTAGGTTATTGGTTTGCAGTTGAGTAATTTTGCATCATGTGTGATTGTATAGTTTAAAGCAAAATACATATATGTGTCATTACTATTGAATATGTTGAATCATATATGATGTATATTGTAAATACCAAAACTGTGTGGTCTAGTTGTGGTCTTTCATAGTCAATTATAAGGGTATCCGGTACAAACTTGTTCAATATATGTTATATACATTGTCTTTGAATATTAGTACAAGTTAAAACACATAACATAATCACATGTGTTTCGTGTAAGGGTATATAGTTGAATCATATCTGATTTATATTGTAAATACCAAAATAATGTAGTCTACTTGTGGTCTTACATAGTCTATTATAAGGGTATCATTACAAAGCAAGAGCCAAAACCATAAAAACTTGTTTGTTGTCGACAATAGTTTCATTATGCATTTCATGGTAAGTTGGTGTGTATGTCATCAAACTTATCTGTACCCTGGTAGTAAGATTGATATTCCTTATTTCTTTAATCCCARCCTAGGTACGGGAAAAGAGGTAGAGGAAAGTAATTTGCTGCAGAAACTATCAGAAGCTTGCATTGTTGATTTCTCTTAGATTGACTCTTCAACTACACAAGTAAGTTTTTATGTTCATGGGTTTCAACTGAAGTTTTGCTGTTTGAGTATTAGCTATTAAAAAGACTAGGAGATAGTAGGATTGTAAACAAAGAGGGAGATAAATGGAGCTTTATATATAGCTATTCCTATGCTGCTTAAGATTAGTGAAATAAGCCAGTATTATGTAGGATCAAGTATAGTTATTATTCACTGTTTAGTTCTTGCTAGACTTTGCCGGCTTTTAATCATTATAATAAATAAAAGTATGTATTATCTTTCTCTTGGAAATAGACTTGCAAGCGTAATTTGTACCGGTGGAATTCTCGGTGCACAGGTAGGTTGTACCAAATTGTCCCTGGCCTAGTTTTTGACCCAACGTGTACAGATCACGAATGTTGGCTGTTTTATGACCAAGGACATAATAAGCCTGGTTCGCGTTCTGGCGGTTCATGGTGCTCTCTTTCCTGGAAGCAGGTGAGGATTTGGGATTGGTATTGGAACCTTTTCTGGGGAACTCTTTAGAGGCACTACGTGGTTGGTTAACGGTGGTGGGTGAGTGGCGTGAGGAGTTGTTAGATTGTGCAGTAGACGGGGTTCGCTTGGAACTGGATTGGTATCCAGGCTGATTGAAGMCTTGATTTATTCTTACAGCAAAAGATCCACGACAAGTATTGCCCATAAAAATATCAAAAATCATATTCTTTTCCCCAATTTATCATCTTTTGAATGCTATTTTGTAGGATTGAACAAGACATTCTCTGTTCTGGTCATTAATCAAACTAGACAAATGATAACATACATGTATATGAAAAGGGGACAGAATCTTGTAACAGATCAAATCAAACCAATGATCCAAAAACTATGAGAAGTGGATCATTCATTAAACAAACACATTAGTAATATGTCTTTTGGTTTAATCACCGAAGTCTCTATGTATTCTCAATTAGTAATATGTCTTCATTGCTTGTAGATTATTGAATTTGAAAATTTGATCAATCTTTTTTTCACAGAAAAGGAGGAAAGAGGTTATTACTATAAGGCCTTAACGC